GATTTTTCTAAGGTCTCACAGTGACCTGCTAGAACTGAGATAGGAGCCCAGATGCCCTCTGAGCCAGCATCTAAGGGCGAAATCAGACTGTGATCACAAACACATCTCTTGTCTCAGCTCAACAGTGTTACACAAATTAAAAGCAAACAACTAGCAGAGAACAGCAAAACAAAACGAACCAAAACACCAGATGAAACTACATCAGTGTTCTAGTCAAAGTTCATCAGGAAGGAAGGAAAGCAGACCCTTCCCTGTGGTCTGGGAAAAGGCATCACAACTGCGATGTCCAGTGAGACCACATTCTAACTCTCCTTCCATTTTCCTCCCCAAGAACCATAGATTTAACAGTTTTCTCTATCACATCAACATTCCTAGTGCGGTCTGTGACTCACCATCCACGGTGAGATAGGAGAGATTGTTAGAATTGCAAATCTCTGCCCCTCCTATTCAGGCCTGCTGAATTGTAACCTGCATTTTTGCAAGATCTTCAATGATGTATATGCACACTGAGGCCAGAGGAGCACTGGTCTAAACCATCTAACAGAGAATAAACAATCATCCTATAGGTCGGTGGCGGTCCGTGCCCACTCCGCATGCCAAAGCCACTGGGGAATTCGATTCCAAATGGTTGGTGAACTCACTCCCACCCACGGCATCCCACCCTATTATTTTCACTAGTTACAACTCCTAATTCTCCACCATCTTGCAAGACGTAGGAGGATTAACACCCTCTGCTTGGCCGCTCTGCTCACACAAGCACCTCCCAGCATACCATAATCACAGGCTTTCGCAATGTGGCATGCTCTTTCTGAAAGGCTCATATCCTCTGTTCCACGTGATAGAAATCAAGATATGTAACTCTTTATACTAAGGAGTAAATACCTTCTCCTGATATGTTTACAATTCCCTTGTAATCACTGGCAAGTGAAATATAATTCATCACCAATAGTCACTCTGTAAGAAACTTTTGTAAGAACTGAGTGCATTTGAAACTAAAAGTGACTAATGGACAATAAAATGTCTAACTTTGAAAGAGTAATGGCTGCTGTATTTAGGTTACATATTTTATGAGCTGTACTCTTTTTTTTCCCTGGTTTTGAGAGGAGTTGAGGCTAAATGATCGTTTTTAGCCAGCATTCACTGAAGTACTGCTCTGAGCCTGGTCTAGCCATTGAAGATGTAAGTATCAGAAGGTCCTTTTCAAAAGAATCATACACTTAATCTAGATTGGATTTGAAGTGACTTGAAGTGTTGGGGTTTGGAGCCAACAGTCAAGAAAGAATTCTTGAGATGTCTTTGGTACAAAAAGGCGGTTTGGTTTTTTAAGGTGGTTTTATTAAAGCAAAGGGACAGAACCCGTGGGCAGAGCTTCTTGGGATTGTGAGGAGTCACGGATTATATACTAGGGAGTTGGAGGAGCTAAAGAGAAAGGAAAGTTTAGAAAAGGGTTTTCATATGCTAAAGAAGACTCCCAGGATCCCAGAAGACTAGCTATTGTCAAGCTAGGATTGTTTTCCCCTCCAGAAATGTATTAACAGTAAAACAGTAGAGAGTTCCTGGAAGAATGTTTTACTCTGCCTGCCTCAAGGCTTTGTTTCCCACATCAGACTGACTGGATTTGAATTCTGATTCCACTACTCGATATTTTTGTGGCATAGAGTACGTTCATTAATTCTCTTAACCTCCATTTCCCTTCTATAAATGAAAATACCATTAATACGTCACAGCTTTGAAGTGAGGATTCCATCTAAACAATTTAATATAGTGTCTGGTACACAGCCATTGCCAAATAAATTTTAGCTTCAATTATTTTCTACCATACTAAAGGATTTGGAAAAATGTGGAAGTTATAAGACAGTTTAATGTTGAAGATTGCATGTAGTTAAGTGAGAAAGGCTCATGTGTACACCTGACCAGTGCGTGCTGAATGCCTCCTATGTTCGAGGCAGGGTGCTAGTGTGGATGAAAAAGAGGTGAAGAGATTCCAGTTCTTGTCTTTGGAGAGCTCCCATCTTACCTGTGAAACTCGGTACCTACCGGAGCAATGTTCTATAAAAGCCACCTGAAAGATTATTATAGCAATTTTCAACACCGAAAAGGGAATCTAAATTCCTTTGTCTTGAGAAAGGGCTCCTTTAGGTCAGTCACTATCAACCATCCACTCTAATTCTACTCCATCAAGGTGAAACTGAAACATCTGTCTTCTCTTCCACTGTTTCCTGCTTCCCTGTGCAGCTCATGGCCAGGGCCCTCCTCTGGTCTCTGACCCTTGGAGTCCAGGTCCATTCTTGTTACCACACCTACTGCTTACGAATTTAGAGTCGAGGTGCTTCCTCTGGCAAACAAAGCTTCTGTCTGAAGCCTCATGCCCATCACTGGGTCTTAGTCACCGATTTTGTTTTACTATGTTGATCTCTCTGGTCATTATCCACAGATAGCCCCAAAGAGGTCATGTTACCCAGTGGTTATGGCTATGAGGTCAAGAATCAGATTGCCTTAGTTCAATCCCAACCTGGACAGTTAGTGTCTGTGATACTGGGCAAGTTACTCCATCTCTTTGTGCCTGAGTTTCCCTATTTGTAAAGTGGGGATGCCATCTTTTGCCTCAAAGGACTGTTTTGAGGATTAAATAAGATATATACGTAAAGTCCACTGACTGGCCTATAGTGAGAGAGACAGAGAGAGGGAGAGAAAGAGGGAGAGACAGACAGACTATGGTGTTGTTATCTTGGTGTACTGGTTCTGGGTCTTAGCTCAGCTGAATCACCAAGCTCAATAAGAATGGCCTTTATGTCCATCTGCTTTATGTTCTGTGTTCCTCTAAAAGTCCAATGAGTTTTGTGACTCTGCCCATAGGACACACTGTGCATAACAACCAGCTTCCCATAAATGATCTCCTCTTCCAGGCCTTACAGAGCACAGATCAGCTCACTGTGGCGCATGAGGCCGGAAGCATGCCCTCCTATGTAACACATTCACCACTAGAGTAACTTAGCTTTGTTCTTTATTGGTAACACTGACATTGATGCACACAATGCACACTGTTGTGTTAAGTACTGAGGGCTTGGGAGCCAGATTGTCAAGATACAGGCCAGACACTTGCTACTTTCTGGTATGTGTATATCTGGTATGTGTATATCAACATTTGCTACTTTTGACATGTGTTTATCAAACTGACAATAGGACCTTCTTCATGGCTTTGTTGTAATGCCTGAATGAGATGGTCCATGTCAAGTGCTATCATCACATAGGGTACGGCACTGAGAAAGCCACGGACCAAAATATTAGTATTATGAAAACCCATTTTGTTTTCATGTTCAGTGAGCTCTGCTGTCCAGTAATTAGGAACTGGGTTGAGTAATTATTATTTTTTTAAGTTTACTTTTTTATTTTGAAGGGAGAGAACAGTGAGAAAGGGAGAGAGAAAGAATCCCAGACAGGTTCTGCACTGTCAGCATAGAGGCTGATGTGGGACTCGAACTCATGAACCGTGAGGTTATATTATGACCTGAGCCGAAGTCAAGAATTGAAGCTTACCTGACTGAGCCACCAAGATGCCCCTGGGTTGAGTAATTACTGATCCCCAAGTGAAGGGCAACATATTTATTCTTCTGAACGAGTGTTCCACTCACTCTTAATATGAAATTGTGAAAGACCGGACACAAGTGGCCATCTTTGTCTCCAGGCAGGTTAGAAAATGGACTGCATAGGTGACAGCCTACAGGCCACCTGAAATGTATGGGATTCATCCCTGATCATTGGATCTGTAAAGTAGAATGAATCAGTAAAAATTAATCCACTACCAAACCAAAATAGCCAGCTATCCTATACAAGCCACTTACATTCTCTGGTCAAAGTTCCTATTTCAAGGATAAAACATCTAATGAAGGAAATTATGCACATGTGGAGTAATCAAGGTGGAAGTGCTAATAAAAAGACACTAATAAAAAGAAAACCACATAATTGAGATACTCTGTACATCTACATAACGTACAGCTTAACACTCAAAATTTTCTGGAGAATCCATAAACAAATCTAAATGTATGTTTTCTTTGATACCCCATATCAGCCCATTCAAGGAGAGAATGCTCAGTTTTGCTCTTTTGCTAGCTACTAGTAACCAGTTTATCTCCAAAGCTATGAACAATATGTACTATTCCCAACCTGTCTACAGATTTTTCCTTCTCTTCTCTTTTTTCCTATATTCTTTGCATTAGTTTTGTTCTTTCACTCAGCCTGCTTGTTTATTAACTAGTATGAGTTAATAATCTTCATACAAAATTTCTCACCATCATACAACACGTTAAGTAAATATCTCTGAGTTTCTTTCATAGTTCTTCTTTTTTTTTTAATTTTTTTTTTAATGTTTTATTTATTTCTAGGAGAGAGAGAGAGAGAGAGAGACAGCGTGAGCAGGGGAGGGTCAGAGAGAGAGGGAGTCACAGACTGAAACAGGCTCCAGGCTCTGAGCTGGCAGTCAGCACAGATCCTGACGCGGGGCTCAAACCCACGAAGCGCGAGATCATGACCCAAGCGAAAGTCGGACGATTAACCGACTAAGCCACCCAGGCGCCCCTCATAGTTATTCTTTAACAGGGCAAATACAATTTTGGGAGAATGGATGTGTGCCTCTGGGTGTGGAGGGTCATTATCTTTCACTACAGTTTTTTTTTTTCCTTCTAAGTCTTATGATATATACAGTTTATGAGTTTAAATACTTAGGTTAGAGAGATAGACTGTGTTCAACCTTTGGGACCCAGAACATGAATTTAAACAATTTTTAATGTCACAGATATTAAATTCAATGAGCAATAAAAGAAAAAGATCGTATCTGATAAAATCACACCTGTAGATAATCAATGAATACAACATATCGAAAACTTTTCATTCAAAGGAAGAGGAAGGCTTGCTCTTGTGTTCTTTAGGCATACCTAAGATGAGAATTGTGAAATTTTCTGGATGTAGGCAGTAAACAAGCACATAGGCTGGTGAGTCCAATGTCACTCCAATTGGGGATGACTTTCCTTGGACATTGCCCTTCTCAGAGCACTCTTGACTTCTGCATTCCTCAGGCTGTAGATCATTGGGTTCAACATAGGGTTGAAAAGACTATAAAACAAAAAAAGGATCTTCTGCTGCTCCTCAGGGTGGCGGGACTTGGGGGCCATGTACATGACAATGGCACTGCCAAAGTAGAGCCCCACTACGCAGAGGTGGGAGGAGCAGGTGGAGAAGGCCTTCCTGCGGCCCTCCCCAGACTCGATCCTCAGGATGGCAAACAGAATGCGTGAGTAGGACACCAGCAGCAAGCAGAGGGGCCCCAGTAAGATAAATACACAGGCCACAAAGATGACAACTTGGTTGAGCCAGGTGTCAGCGCAGGCCAGCTTGAGGACAGACAGGATCTCGCAGAAGAAGTGGTTGATTTCATGAGGCCCACAGAAGGGCAGCCTCAGGATGAGGCTCACATGGACCAGAGCCAGGAGGAAGCCACATGCCCAGGAAGTTACCACCAGGCTGATGCAGACTCTCCAGCTCATGATGACAGAATATCAGAGCGGGTGGCAGATGGCCACATAACGATCATAGGACATCACCACCAGGAGAAGACATTCAATGTGAGCAAAGCTCAAGAAGAGAAAGGTCTGTGTCAGGCAGCCCGCAAAGGAAATGGGCTGGTCTGGCTTCAGGAGGTTTACCAGCATCTGGGGCACCGTGTTGCAGGCATAGGCTATGTCGACGACAGCCAGGTGGGAGAGGAAGAAGTACATGGGGGTGTGCAGTCTGGAGTCCAGCAAGATGACCCCCAGGATGAGCCCATTCCCCAGCAGGGTGAAGGCATAGAACAGGGAGAAGAGCCCAAAGAGAAGCATCTGAATCCTTGGACCGAGACAAAATCCGAGTAGGATGAATTCTGTAACCATTGTTCGATTTTTCTCCATTTTGCTAATAAAGAGAGAACCAGATAGCTGTATGACACAATTATTTCAAAACAACCCTTGTATTTATTATTCATAAATTTTTGGTGTGTACAAAATTATTAGGAAACAACTTCAAGACGTCACTGAATCAAAAGTAAGGAAAGAGAGAAGGAAGACTTAGATATTTAAATAAATATAAGTGTCTGTCTTTAAGCTAAGTTCTTAAACTGACATCTAATTTTACAGAAGGGGAATATGTCATCTGTGATGACATGGAGACTTTGACACTGAGATGGAGTTAAGAAATATCAAGCTAAATTACAAAGAAAATAATCATGAAATCTGGATTGTTTCAGAGCTACATATGTACAAATACATAAGAGAATTACTACATAGTAGAAATAAGAGGAGTTTTAAGTGAGCATGGTTTCTGGAAAAGAAAATAATTTTACTTATCTCAGCTGAAATCATGATTGAGTTAACATCAGTATCTAAATCTCATGTTCATGGATTAGAAGAGTTAATATTGCTAAAATGTCCATAGTTCTCAAAGTCATCTATTCAATGCAATCCCTGTCAAGATTCCAACGACATTTTTATAGAAGTAGAAAAAATTCTAAAACTGTAAGAAACCATAAAAGGCCTCGAATAGTCAAAGCAATCCTTAGAAAGAAGAAGGCAGGAGTCATTACCCTTCTTGATTACAACCTATATATGAAAGCTATAATAATCAAAACAGTGTAATACTGGCATAAACACAGACACACAGACCAATGAAAAAGAATCAAGAGCCCCAAAATAAACTCATAAAGATTATATTTGACATGGGAGCCAATAGAGAAAAGGCACTCTCTTCAAAAAATGATCCTGGAATAATTGGATAATCACATATAAAAGAATAAAACTAGACTCCTATGTACACTGCTCACAAAAATTAACTCAAAATGGATGAAAGACCTAAATATAAGATGAAAAACCATAAGACTCCTAGAAGAAAACAGGTTAAAAAAAAACTTCCTGACATGGGTTTTGGCAATAATTTTTAAAATGTAACACCTAGGGAGGCCTGGGTGGCTCAGCTGGTTAAGTATCTGACTTTGGCTTGGGTCATGATCTCATGGATTGTGGGTTTGAGCCCTACATTGAATTCCATGCTGCCAGCTCAGAGCCTGGAGCCTGCTTAAGATTCTGGGTCTACTCCTTTCTCTGCCCCTCCCCTGCTCATACTCTGGTTTGCGCTGTCAAAATAAACACACACACACACACACACACACACACACACACACAAAACACCTAAAGCACAAGCAACAAAATAAAAAAATATAAAAGTGGAATTATATCAAACTAAAAAGCTTCTGCATAGCAAAAGAAATGATCAAAAAAATGAAAAAAATGAAAAGACAATCTATGAAAAGGGAAAAATATTTGCAAACAATATATTTGATAAGGGGTTAATATCCAAAATAAATGAAGGACTGATGCAAATCAATAGCAAAAACAACAACAAAACCCAAAAACTCTCCCAAATAACCAAATCCAAATGGACAAAAAACCCAAATAGATATTTTTTTTCAAAGACAACATACAGATAGCCAACAAGGGCATGACAAGATGTTCAATATCACTAATCATAAAGGAAATGTGAATCAAACCCATAAGATAGCTCTTCACTCCTGTCAGAATGGCTATCATCCAACAGACAAACGTTAACAAATGCTAGAAGAAAGGGAGCCCTTGTGCACTATTGGTAGGAATGTAAATTGGTACATCCACTAAAGAAAATAATATGGAAGTTCCTTAAAAACTTAAAAATTGTATTACCATATTAGCCAGCAACTCCACTTCTGGGAGCATATCCAAAAGAGCACACCATGTGGAAAATGTATTTCTACCCCCATATTCATTGCAGCATTGCTTATAATAGCCAAGGCACAGAAACAACCTAAGTACCCACTGATAGATAAAAGGATAAAGAAGTTTTGGTATACATCTATGTTGGAATATTATTTGGCCATAAAAAAGGAAGAAATCCTGCCATCTGTGACCACATGAGATCATTGTGCTAAGTGAAATCAATCAGACAGAGAAAGCAAATATGGCATGATCTTGCCTATATGTGGGATCTAAAATGAATAAACAAGTGAAACCAAACCTATACAGGGAATAGAACCTGATCTGTGATTACCAGGAAGGGGGTGGGTGGAGAGGGAATTGGAGGAAGGTGGTCAAAAGGTCTAATTTCTGGTTATAAGATAAATAAGCACTGGGAATGTTAGGTATAACATCATGACTCTAGTTAATAATGATGTATGATATATTTGAACTTTTAAAAAAATTTTTAATGTTTATTTTTGAGAGGGAGAGTGCGGGAGGGGCAGAGAGGGAGATACAGAATCCGAAGCATTGCCCAGTGTGGAGTTTGAACACACAAGCCATGAGATCGTGATCTGAGCCCAAGTCAGATGCCCAACTGACCGTGCCACCCAGGCGCCCCTATATTTGAACACTGCTAAGAGGACGAACTCTAAGGATCCCCATAACAAAATAGAAAACCTCTTTTCTTTTTCTTTTTCATATCTATCCGAGATGATAAATGTTAACTAGACTTACTGTGGTAACAATTTCACAATATTTTTAAGTCAAATCCTTATGCTTATATGCTTTACACTTCTATAGTGTTGTATGCCAAATTTTTTAATATTTATTTTTGATAGAAGAGGGGATAGGCAGAGAAATAGAAAGGGAGACAGGGTGGGGGGCCAGGGTGGCTTAGTCGGTTAAGCGTCCGACTTTCGCTTAGGTCATGATCTCGCAGTTCGTGGGCTCGAGCCCCGCGTCGGGCTCTGTGCTGACTGCCAGCTCAGAGCCTGGAGCCTGTTTCAGTCTGTGACTCCCTCTCTCTCTGGCCCTCCCCTGCTCACGCTGTCTCTCTCTCTCTCTCCTAGAAATAAATAAAAATTAAAAAAAAAAAAAAGAAAGAAAGAAAGGGAGACAGGGTATCCAAAGCAGGCTCTAGGCTGACAGCAGAAAGCCTGATGAGGGGCTCAAATTCATAAACCGGGAGATCACGATCTGAGCTGAAGTTGGATGTTCAACAGACTGAGCCACCCAGGTGACTCTGTCAATTTCATCCCAATAAAATTGGGGGGAAAAAATTTAAGGTCATACCTTAGAATGAAGAGAAAGAGGAAATATACTCATCTTGCTGTTAATTCAATCCTTCATATTTATAACATGCATTATAACTGAAATCCAAAACATAAGAAATTGCTAGTTACACCAACAAACAGTGGCTGACCACAGCACCATGAATTAAAATATACTTTATAAGAAGCTAATAGAAACAAATTATTGACACTGTATTGGTAATACAGTTTGTCTATTGAGAAATGGGCACATCAAGTTAGTGATAAAATACTTAGTCTATGAATTTTATCGTAGACTTGATAAACAAGAGAATATCGGGAAATAGATGACTGGAGACTTTGGGAACCTCCGAAAAGTCTAGTCAAGGTGCTTTGATACAACCTCAGGGAGGCAGGGGAGGAGGATGTGACAGTGAACCCACGGGGAGTCACTTGTGTGGGCCACCTGTCCGGAGACAGACTATGGGAAAAAGAGAGGAGATGATCAATATGGAGCATAGACACAAAGTCAGAGAGGCAGAATTTGAGCATCTGTAATGACCTTCGGAAACAGGAAGCCTGACCACTTGTTACAATCCTAGTCACCCAGTGATTCTATGTCTACAGCCTAGATGGATGGCTTGGGTGACCAGCACCCCTAGTCAAAAAGATCTCTGATTAGCCTCTCTTGCTTTGATTTCATGTCCACCAAATTATCAGGCAACAAGTTACCTTTTTGAATAGATATGTCCACAAAGAAGGAATGTGTTGATCAGCAAAATTCTTTGCTTATTTTGTAGTTGCATTTTGAATTTTAAATAAATGAACTTTAGAAACTCTGGCTTATGCTCCATCCTATTGTGCTTTGGATAGCATGATGTAGGCCCTGAGCAAAATTTCCAAAGCTGGATCTAAAAGTAAGGACCAGACCCTGAACTAAGGCAACTCCATTGAAGAAAGACCCAGAAAAAGAAACAGAAGCATTCCTAACAGCAACAGATGAGATGGTTGTTTTCTTGAAATCATTATTTTTTACAGTTTCCTTTAAAAATTTATTTATCTATTAATTTTGAGAGAGAGAGAGTGAGAGAGAGAGAATCCCAAGCAGGCTCTGCACCATAATTGCAGACCCCAATTCGGGGCTTGAACCCATGAACCTTGAGATTATGACCTGAACTGAAATCAAGAGTTAGAGGCTTAACCAACTGAGTCACCCAGGCTCTCTTTTTTCTTATAAGCATTATTGATAACATGTATAATCATCTGGACATAGAATTTAAATAATATATTAAATATTCTTCATATATGACCAGGGTTTATTTGATTTTAGATTAATATTATCATTTTCTGTGCTTAACAAACTTTCTAAATTTATTATTTTAATGTTTATTTATTTTTGAGAGAGAGAGTGCACACAAATGGGGGAGGGTCAGAGCAGAAGGGGACAGAGGATCTGAAGCGGGCTCCATGCTGACAGCAGAGAGCCCCTATATGGAGCTTGAACTCACAAGCCGCAAAATCATGACCTGAGCTGAAGTCTGATGCTTAGCCAACTGAGCCATCCAGGCTCCTCTCTCAATTTATTTTTTAAACGCATAAGGCATAGGAAGATATTTGGCTGTGAGATACACTCAAATCTACCCTTTTATAAAATAGTAATTTTCTTTCCTCATTTTTCTTTATTCCTTCAACATGAGGACATAAATGAAAAAAGAAATAGAATACAAACCATGATTTTCCGACAGCCAATTTTAAAGACACTGAAAAGGAGGCCAGGGTACATTAATATTCTTTCAATACAGTAGCTCTGTTTGCTTCAAATTTGACTTCTTCTAAAGCAGTGAAATAGTTTGTTAATCTTTATATCCCTGGAGTTACTAAACATTTGTTGAAGGG